GCGGATCATTGTCACAGCAATCACACAGACACACGGTAACAGTGCGGATCATTGTCACAGCAATCACACAGACACACGGTAACAGTGCAGTATGACAGTGCTCAGTGGGCAGGCACTTCCTCATCTGCCGTGGACCTGCCGGTGAGAGGGAGTGCCCTGGACAACTTCCACTTTGCAAGTATTCCTCCCCAATTTAACCCATCCCACAGAACCCACCTTCACTCACCGAAAAACATGGGTCGTGATCTTTCTTGAGTGTAGTTCTAGCTTACGTGTATTTCAGTGTTTAATATTAGAAGCGTTTTATGTCTTAACTTAGACATTTTATAAGTTTTGGGGGGCCAGAAATATGCCCTGGGAACTTAACTCTTGTTTATATGAATTAGCCTGTGGTGAAACTGGTTTCACTGTACACTGTTTCAAAGTCGCAGTTTTCAGGAACCATCTATCAAGTTAGGACTTACCGTATGGAGGGCCTAACTGTGAGACTAGAAAGCAATTAGTCCAAAATATATTTCTAAAGACCAATACTTATATTAAATTAATCCAAATGAAAAAACTACTGAGGAGTGCTGTCAAGAGAGAAATGTAAGGACAGTAGAAACAAACTCCTGATCAGCAACCCAGGGTTTAGGAATAAAAAGTAGCTGCTGAAGTCCTCTGGAAACTTAGATGGTAGTTTCTATACATAACCCTTTCCTATTCCATTTCAATTCTGGCATAAGAGATATTTGAAAGATGTTTATTCAATATTTCAAGAAAATCTAGGCTGGAGAAATGGTTCAAGGTATTAGAAATACTGAAAGATCACTGCTAGATTTTTCTATTTCTAAAATGCTTACAACCAGAGGGAAGATAGTTTGCCTCGTTCCTAAAACAGTTTAATACAATCATATCTGGCTATCTACACTCTTATTTATTTTACCTCAAAATAAGATTAATATCAAGTGAAAAGCTTTTAAAAGTTGTGCCCATTTAAAATTCTACACTATCATTCAATTCTAGAATTTAAAATTTAGGATTTAAAGGTATTAGAAACTCTTCAGTCCAAGTCCACTTTATAAATGAAAAAACACTTGTTTGAGATGACATTATTGGTCTGTGGCAAGCCAATTTAGAGAAACTTAATCCCTGTCCCGTATTAAAAGCGGAAATTAATGGTGACACATCCATTCTTCGTCAATTTCAGTATTAATAATTAGTTAACAGAGCTAGGGCTGATAACTAGTTAACAGAGCAAAAGCTACCATTGTGATGCCAAAGTAATAGTTACCAATTTGTTTAATAAACATGCCAAATAAAAATACATAAGAGCACAATTTTAAAAACAATTCTACACAGTGTATTATCTCCCAACTTCTGAATTTCTGGTCTATACACCGTTGACAAGGTTCTACCTGCGACGCCCAGGAGCACACAAAGTTGCTTTGCTAGAATTCTCTTTAAAACTCAAACCATCTTTGGACTTGGCTCCCTTTCTTGTAATCGGTAGTGCAAGATTTTAAGTTTTTGAGACAGCATCAATCTGCACGACGTTTGCAGAGACACTGCCGCAAGCTAACCAGGAGCCCTCGCTGAGTAGGCAGTGGGACCCCCACCCGCCACGACCCCAGTCCCGCCGAGCAGGTCCCCACCGGAGCCCCCGCTCACCCACAGACAGGCTCGGGTTACACTCGGGTCTCCCGCGGCAAAGCGGGGACCCAGCGCCGAGCGGCAGCGTTGCGAAGCCGCTCCTCGCCCCCAGCTCTGCCAGTAACGCCCCAACACCCAGCTCCAGCTCGGGCTCCACCTCGGTCCTCGCCTCCCGCCGTTGCCGTAGCAACCCCCTTCCCGCCTCCGCGCTCGCTCCCAACGCGCAAGCTCCCCGGCTCCTCCCGGTCCCCGCGCCGGCGGCCGTGAGGCAACACAGCGCATGCTCACTGGCCCGGCCGCGCGCATGCGTCGCGCACACACGCCGGTGCGTAGCCGTTAAGATGAGGGACGCGGCGGCTGCTAGGCGCGAGGAACGTGGCCTGGTGCGTTGTGCACCGGGTGGGGCGCGGTCCTCGTGCCCTCGGGTCCCTGCCGAACTGCGCGCGCGCGGTTGGCGCCGCCCCAGGCCCGCGGACGAGTGGACATCCCCGGCGCGGCCCTGGGTCTGCCCGTCCCCTGGGCCTGGTCGTCGACTGGACCCCGAGCTCGTGACCCCCAGCGCGGCTCCTCCCCGGGGCGCTCGCGGTCGCGCCACCCTCTCGGGGGGCCGGGCCTGGCCACCCCCCGGCCCGCGCTCCGCCCCCGACACGTGCTGCGCGGTCGCCCCGCCGGTGGCCGCCGCCCGGTGCTGCCTGCGCTCCGGCCCAGACCCTGGTTTTGCGTCGTGGGTGTGATTTTTTCTTTGTTTTATTCTTTTTGGTTCTTTAGGATAAGAACATAAATGTGGCCTCGCACTCCCATCGTGGCCAGAAGCGGAAGTCAGTATGAGCTTTAGTTTGTTAAGCTTATTTCGTGCTTTTGTTTGAATAAAACTTTGCTGAAAGTGCAAAGAAAACATGGAAAGGCAAGTAATTTCCTTTTTAACTTCACTGAAAGCGAGGTCCGAAGTTGCCAACCGTCTTAGACTGGGAATCAATCATTGATCATTAAGGACCTAAAAATTAACATAAATTTGGAATAAGTGATATATGAAACAAGATAATTTTAACTTCATTTAAACTCTAGGTTTTTCTTAGTGGAAATGAATATTCTGTACTGGCCACTGCCGTTTTGAAGTTAGTAGAAATAAAACAGGCTAAAATTTTTGAGTAAGCCGAATTCAATTCATAGTGAAGTTAATCTTAAGTTATTAAATTTTCACACATTTCAAACCTTTGTAACAAGATTGTAACCTCGTTTTAGTCCCAGTTTGTGATGTGTGTAGAAGTTGGACAGGGACATTTGGTACAGTCAGGTTTCGTTCTGTGACGTGGGCATCAGGGTGGCACAGTGGTAAAGGGGCGATTGGGGTTCAGGTAGTGGAGCCTCTTCAAACCCAGACTGACTTCCTAGGCATCTGATTTTTGGCAGGTTTATCTTCCCAAACTGTGGGTTCCTTACTTGTGAGGGGACATTTGTTGCTTCTTCCCTCAGCTCCTCACTCACCCCAGCAGTAGCCCTGGCACCTCTGGAGTCCTGGGATGGAACATGACCAGGGTGAATGTCAGGAAGTCCAGGACCTGGCCACAGCGACATTTTTGTGGGGGCCACGGAGATGTTAACTGTCCCTACTGAATGTGGAAGCAGGAACAGGGGTGTGGTTGCAGCAATGTGAGCTGTCATCCTCCTCACTGAGTGAGAGCCTGATGCTGTCGGGGGCCACCAGATGAATTTTAGGAGGAGTCTACAGGAGGTGGGGAAGCTGAGGTGGGGCAGTCTGACCTAGTGACTGAGTTTGAGCCTGTCCTCTCTCTCTTTTCACTCAGCGGCTTCAGCTCCTTCAGGGCTGCTTTTTTGCTGTTTGCAATAGCAAGAATTGGAATGATAAATAGGTAGGTATACTATTACCATCTTAGGTTTGTGATGAGATTAAGACATGGTATCCTATGTGAATCAGCAGGATGAGTACAGGGACTGCTATTCTTTGCATCAGTTTTAAGGTATGCTTGGACGTCGTAAAATTTTAAGAAAATTTTACATTTTTAAATCTCTACCCTCCATTCAAGCACTTAAATTTTCATGCGTTTTTCCTTCTGCATGTTTCCTCCCCAAAATAAATTGGTCACTTTTTCAGTTTGCCACATAAAATATTTTTATTTTTTATTTAAAAGAGACAAGGTGTTGCTATGTTGCCTAGGTTGGTTTTGAACTACACGGCTTTAAGTGAACCTCCCACCTTTGCTTCCAGAGAAGCTGGTAGGTAGGATTATAAATGCATCCCACTGTGCCCAGCTAATATATTTATTTTTATTAATACTTATGAGATGAGCATATTTTGTGGGCACATTGATTAATTTGATACATTTATCATAATCAGATATATTGGGATATGTATCACCTTAAATATTTTTTCTTTTGTTTATACTAGGAACATTTGAATTATTCTCGTCTAGCTCTTTTGAAAAGTACTTTATTGTCAACTGTAGGCTTCTGATGGAGAATTTAATTTGATTATTATTACTTTGTAAT